ATATATATATATATATATATATATATATATATATAAACATTGTTCTATATTTGAGCAACTATTCTGCTATCATCACAACTCCATTGTAGCAAGCTCATCAATTAGTCAGCCAGCTTCCATCATTTTTTCATCTGATACTGTTATTCACTGCTGATTCCAGTTTGTGCCAGTCAGCACTGTAAACTATCATATTTATCTTATGACACCTATTAATTTGGTCTATCTGTTTTTGTAACATGTTACAAATCACAGTCTGTGAATACATGTATATATTTGTGTCCCTTTACAATTTTTGTTTTGATAAAGAGGAAAAAGGTATAAAAATCAACTACTCATTTTAGCAGTTCGATTCTATTATATATTTTTTGTCAACTTTGGCTACTAAATGTACCAAAACTAAGTTTTATTTTCTACTTGTCTTGAAACACAAACAACTCCTATTAAAACTGTATCATTATTTACATGTATATAACTTGTTTCAAGTTGCAGTAGTTGTTGCGATTTGTTTGAATCCAATAATAATCTATTTAATATTTTAAAAAAGTAACAAAAGAATTTTGCTGATATGCAGTATGTAATATCATACTTTTATTCTTAAGTTGTGAGTCAGCATTGTTTAGGTACTTTGGAAGCCGTTTTAAATTTTTTTTTCTGTATAAAACCAAGATTCCTTCTAATATTGTTTTGTTAATATTTTCAGTAATTTCACAACAAATAGAAGCGTGAAAATGGTACTTTAACAAAAGCAGCTAATTGGAAAACTATATTTTCATAAAAATAGGATTTTCTACAAAATTTCTAATCACAGGATAATAAAATATGAGAAGTAAAGAACAGTTACAAGTTACATACCTATGGTAATTAGGTATTGCAAACTTGGTAATCTTGTTACGCTATAGGACATACTTTTATTTAAGTCTAGTTGCCAACTGCAGGTCTGAAATTAAATTGCACTCGTAGTTCATCTGTTTCTATAAAAGTGTTTATAAACTTATTTCGAGAGATAACTTTGTTCCACTATTCAGAAATATACCATCTCTTTGTGATGCTGTTATGATTTTCTCTAGCTAGATAGATTTTCTTCTAAAGTTGTTGCTTTCTACAATGATTTACGAGAGTAACACCATTGAAAAAAACCCATTTACTTTAAATTTGTACTAAATTTTAAATTTCTAACTTTTTCCTCATCCTCCATTTCATTTCTCAAAATTTAACTGAGGCAAGTATTAAAATAAACTATCAATTTCACCAAATTCAGGCATTTTTCACAAAAACTGTTATAGGTGTGTGGTTGCCTGAAAATATTCTAGGCTTAATATTCACTGTTATATGCTATCACAAAGTTGTTCATAATGCTTCATACAAATTATGAATATGATGTTGCTTCACAGAAAAAGCTTGTGTATGTCTCATTTCATCACATTTACCACATGGACACTTCTAACAAATTCTCAACTGATGAGAGGTTTTTGACTCATTAATTATTGAAACAATCCTGAGAATATACTAGAAGGGAAATTTTCTCATTTCCAGTGATTTTGTCATATGTAATAGTTAGAGATGGGTGACTTAGAATCAGAAACCTTAAATTTCAATTAGATTATTATTTTTGTGACAACTGATTTAATCATAATTTTTATTAATTGATCGTTGAAATAATTAGAAACACTGATTCTATTAGACGATTATTTTTGTGACAAACAGTATAATTTAAATTAATCAATTGTGTTGGAATAATGGAAATGCTAATAATCAATGTTAAAAAAATAATCTTTTGTTTTTATTTCACAACACTTGTGATGTAAATAAAAATAGATAATAATTACAATAAACTACTAAATCTGGTTCACACCAAAACACTTTTTTGTTCTTGAAAATTACACTATATATATATATAAAGCACCTAGACCACTACTTTGTATGTCATATCCCAGCCAGTCTGATGAGCCCTGGTATTCAACGAAAGGTTTCCTCAACACTGGCTATGGCAGATATGTCTAGTGGTTGACATAATATAACAAGTATACACTTTCATTTGTGGGCTCTTAGAGGACTAAAATTGGACAGAGCACAGAAAGCTGATTACATAGCTGTGCATAACACCTAACATAATAGCAGTATTTCAATTACTTGGATAGTTGGAGTAATTGAAAATATTAATAACCAGAAACTATAATTTCAATTAGTTGATTATTTTTGTGACAATATACTTGATTGATTGTTTGAATAATCAAAAACAGTAATAACTGGAAACACAGATTTGGATTAAAGTTGATTTAATTGATTATACATAACACTAATCAATATAATTGCTGCGTGTAGGTAATTGATTATATTCATTAAATCACCCATCTCTATTATCTAATTTTATATACTGTTCTTACTAAGAGTACATCAGTATAATGAGCTACAATTAAACAAACACTTACAATGATTATAAAAATGTGTATTCTTGTAATTATCAGTATTTGTAGTCTTAATCCCAAACACGTTTAGTAACATTTGGCCAGCTTAGGATTAAACATAATTATTAATGAAATTGATTGTAAAGAATGATATACAAATATATCTAAAACTGTTTGTTGTGCACTACCAGTATTTTTGTGCTTGTTCCTAGAGCTGTTCCATTGTTTGAAAGCAGCGGTAGTATGTTTTGTCTTTCCAAGTCAACCTGTCGCATTCATGAAAGTTCTTTTTATGTTATCAGTAGTCGTGTTTCTTTTGTGGAGCTATCCTTGATCATTTGCTATGGGAATCTTATTATCTCTTCTAAGTATTTTCTTCCTAAGGCTGTGACTTTGTAAGTAGTCATTGGAACCCATTTTATCATGTATGTCTTTTTAAAGGTCTATGTTCATGACAACATAGTATTTTCATGTTTATGAGGTGTAGAACTGAAATAAGTGTAAAGCTTTGGACAGTTTTTTTAGGAAGGGTAGAATTAATGGGTTTATCTTTTTAAGATTTAAAGGAGGTTTACTAAATTTTTTTGACTAACAGATTTTGTTTTGGGCTTTAATATTTTTTGAGTAATTTAGAAGCACATTGAGGTAAGAAATACTAAGTTTTATTTGAACATATTATAAATGAATAGATTGCATTTTAGAGTACCTTAAAACTTTTCAGTGTTCTGAGTAACCCTACTTATTTTTTTAGTCCTGGGGAAAGCCAATTTCTAGTGTATCTTCAACTTATGGAGTCACTGTACATCCTTGACTGTTGTTCAGTCAACTCTTGTGCAGAATGCTTTTTATTTCTCATAAAAACTTTCCCAAAATACTTGTTTCAGTATTTTCAGTTTTCTTTATCAGACATTTACTTACACCCATCTTTATCCAGACAAAAACAATATTAGTCTGTAATGGATATTGTACTCTTATATAAAGAAGCTACATTTTTTTGTCTTAATGATAGCAAATTATTGCTATAACATAGTTTTTTCATTTACATTGACTTACACATTTATCTATCATGTCTGTCAAACAATAGGCCAGGTGGTTAGGGTGCTCGACTCGCAATCTGCTGGTCACTGGTTCGAATCCTTTTCAAACCAAACATGCTAGCCCTTTCACATTATAATGTGATGGTCAATCCCACTATTCATTGGTAAAAGAGTAGCTCAAGAGTTGGTGGTGGGTGGTGATGACTAGCTGTCTTCCCCTATCTTACACTGCTAAATTAGGTATGGCTAGTGCAGATAGCCCTCGTGTAGCTTTGCATGAAATCCATAACAAACAAACTGTCGAACAATTTGAGTAGTAATATTATAGATTTGAATATCATGATCTGTTGACTAGCTTTATATCATTCAGTAAGCATCATTATCAATCGTTTTGGTGCACTATATATATACGATAGTACGATACTAGATTGATGACACGAGTATAGAGACATATTGTAAACAGTATGTTAAAGTGGTAAATACAAGTATCTTTCATTAGCTATAATTGTGATCTATAATTTTCTTGATATTAAATTTGTATGAAAACTTCTGCAGTAATTTATTTTTGTTATTTACTAGAGGGAGTAAGTCACATTGGCGAGCCGTGTATTTTGTCTTTGTTTTGTCGAGGAAGTAACGTTTATTGTCATAAAGGAATTTGCAGATGTAAAGCTGATTATCCTATTGAAGTTGATTCTCACAAGTGTAAACAGGGTAAGTATTGTTTTTCAATTGTTTTAAGAACTTTATGGTATTTGTATGCAAACTAGAAATATTTAATTTTTTGGTTGACATTAAACTTTGATTTTGTCTTCATTCTCTATGGTTAGCTCAGTTATGGCATTTGAGATTCAGTAAAGTAATATGTGCCTCTATTACAGACTGTTTCATATTTTTATTCATCAAAGGTTATATAAGTGGAATTTGAAGCATGCAGTAAGCACTTTTTGTGATATTTTCTGAAAACATTATATTGCTATATGAAGAATGTATTAAAAAATTTCAAGTTATTTTTTTTTCTGAGCATGTACTTGGTTTCTTTTCAAAATAGGTAAGAAACAAGGTGAGAGGTGTGAATATACAGAGGAGTGTACCTATTATGATGAGAATACTTACTGTACACAGCTGCCTTATCGAAGTACTTGTGAATGTCACACAGATTATATTTACGATGCTAGTAAAGGATTATGCGTGAAGAGTAAGTGAATCTTGGTGATCACTAAACTGTAGGTATTGGTGCATATTTAGATGGGTGTTTTCAGTGTTAAGTCACAATATGTGCCATCTTGTCTTTTTCTTTATTTGTTTGTTATATAAAATAGAATGCTTATTTCTTTGTTTCTCCAGAACTTAGGAAACTAATAAAATCTCGTTAAACTTATGCTGAAAAGTTCTTGAACAATTACAGTATATAGGTGAGGACATTGGTTTTGACTTTTGCATGGTACTGTATTAAACAGAAGTTTTATAGTTATAGATGTTTGCCACTATTATAAATTTTGCATATTTTAAAGTAGAGAACTTTGTATTTTTATATAAAAATGGTTGTGTGTGATAAATTGCAACCTGCTTGCAGATTTACTTACATCTTGAATTTAATAATTACTCCCTGTGGAGTTGAAGAACTAGCATATGGTTAGCTACTTTTTAGTGTATATTTAGCATATAGGTTATTGTATTATTTGAAAAATTTAAACTTGCTACGAGTGATGAGAGGTACATTTATATTTCATCTAAGTTATACGCAGTTTCTGTCATTATACTTTTTATTATATTTAAAACAAATCTATTACATTAAAATTTAGGTTCATATAAGAAAATCTGTTGAGCTAAGTTATTCATTAACATGAGGAGACCATCATTATTGTTAATTCGGGTCTGTTTCTTGAGTCCAGCCTGCAGTGGAAAACAACATGTGTTAATTGTTTTATGACATGCTTACACAGTAGAAAGAGTAAAAAATGTTCATGAAACTTTTTAGATTGAAATACATTAATTTGGTCTCATTTTTATTTTCCAAAAAATAAATTGTATATATATTTTAGTAGTGACAATGGGTTTCATGCTGTAAAGACATAAAATAGCTGTCTTTAAATGATCCTTTAAAATGTAACGGTTATCAGATTGAATATTGTTTTGGCTTTGTTTCTGGGCAAGGTGTGTACACGATAGTCAGAGACAAGTGATACACTATAGTAAAAACTGAAAATATACATTACATTTGAAATAAGAAACATATTTGCGTATGTTGAGACGAATCTATACTGTAATCAGCTGAGTTTTTGAGGTACATCATTCCATATTGGTAGAAGGTGGCAAAAACTGTGGTCCTAAATTAACTAGAAAATTAGATAGTCCTAAACTTTCTTTTGTTATGAGATAGATCAAAATTGTGTATCAAAAAATATTTACACCAATATATCACTTGAGTTGGAAACTAAGAAACTTCAATAGTAATTTGTCACCCATGCATTAACTTTTTACTAGCATATGTATAGGATAGTTATAAAGTCATTATTGGTATTTGAAATACTCTGTAGGGTGAACTGTTTTTATTAATATATGGATTAAATGTATGTATTTATGTAAGAGATTACTATTTCCAATAAATTGCTTTTAATTATTGTGAAGAAATTTTAAAAAGTTAGAGTTTTTGATATATTCTTTTCTAGATTTTCTAAATGATACATCTAATAATTTTTCAGTTTCAGAAACTAGAAATGAAAACTCAAATCTTGTTCTTCCAACTGCTGTTGGTCTTTCACTAGCATTTGCAAGTGTCGTATGTTGCTGTTTAGCTCTCGTCCATATGTGTCGCAGGTGAGTGAGAATTTTCAACAAGGTGTTGTAGATTTATCCTTGAAAAATTATTCATCAGTATACTTTCAACCAGTGTAAACCAGTTAAGCTTCTTATACTTTTGTTTAGCAGATGTTAGCACTTTAGTTGAATGTCTTCTCAATGCTGACACAAGTTCTTTTATGTATGTGCATGCATTTGAAAATTTTTTACGAACAAAGAACTTTGAAATCAGAATACATTTATTTGACTGTTTATTAAAAAACTGGTTTTGTATGATACAGGTACTCTTGTGCTGTCATTTATTTCACAGTAAAGGAGAATTTTATGGTTCATTGGTTTGGTTATTTGAAGTATGTAATGGGAAAAAACATTTTATTTATGCATAAACACCTGTTGAAACTGTGATGCTGTTTATTAGACCGTTTGCTCTAGTCACTTGTATTTAGCTCTTGGTTTTGTATATATTTACTAGAAATACATACAGGTTCTTAAGATTGTTTATTGTTATTTTACTTTTGCTATCAAAATCATTTCGAAAATTAACTTATATTATTTAACTGTGTAGATTACATGCATTTGCTTCTTTTTTCTTGGCAATGTAGTACAAGTGTAAGCTTCTCTAAGTTTCAGATGTTATAGTCACATTTTAATGGGAATGAGGTACTTTGTTACATATTTCTTCTCTTCCTAGTGCTTCCTCCTTACTTATAAACCTCATTTATTATCATTTGATACTATGTTTCCATAATGTTTTTGTGACATTGAATTTGTAGTTTTACAAGTAGATCCGTTAAGGCTCATCAACATTAAAATTGAACAACTAATTTATAATTACAGTGGTCAAGGGGAAGTATCTAAACTATCATAGAGCTACATGAGCGATGTTACTTTGCTAAAATAGAACCTGTCTCTATTTTTTGTCTTATTGCATGACTCAAGATAATCTGGCCAATCAAAGTAACCCAGAATATAATAATGATAAAGATGATGATTATGTCATACTTAACAAGAACAAATTAATAATAACAATAATGTTACACCTTAAAAGGTTAATAAAAAAAAAAGTATGTAAATAAAAGGTTTTTGTGTAGAAACACAATTGAGATTGCAGTAGGCTGTGTGTGTTTTATAATGGGACAACCTATTTCTAGTGTGTCCAGTAAGAATGAATAAGCAGGATCGTGTATTTATGTATAGTCTTTTGCAGCATTTCCAATTCATGTCTGGTGTGAATTGACATTCTGCAACATTGCTCATGTTCAGTGAGGATGAGCCTTTATCTCTTTCAGAACGGGCTCGGGCTCAGTCCTTGGGACTGACCTCATAACCATTTTGTGCTTGTTATAGTGTATGTTCACGAAATTTGGCATATTATCAGTAAACATTACAAGGCTTTCATACACAAAATATCAGATTTTTTTCATTAAGTTTTAAGGTTTGTTATGCAATGATTTTCTCGTGCCTTTTTTCTTTTCACCTGTTGCCTATCCAACACGTAAACTAATTTTCATTTTAAGATTAAAAATACTTTTATGCATCAGAAAATTTCAAATTTCACATCCGAAATCTTTATAATGTCCAGATAGTTATCAAACCTTTCTTAAGAAAAAAACTTTATATTTTATCTGTTATTTTCACTAACAAATCTTTGTATGGGTTCGGTCGATTTGACTGATCTCGTAACCAACATAAAAAATTAGGAAATAAATATAAATTATGCCTTTTTCGTTCTAGAATGACTACAAATTATAACACGAAAACACAAGTGGTTAGACTAAGTAGCTTAAATCTCATAACATTATACATTTGTATATATTTAATATTTTTTATTATATTGACCTTTCAGCTTTGCCTGGCTAACAATACAGAAGATACAATGATGCAGCACACATGCACTCATGTTACTGTATCCAATAATATAAAACTGACCTTTAGTCTTTACAAAGTGATCTGTCTTGGCTGTGTTTGTTTGTAAAATACAGTCACATTTCAATTATTATACATTATGTATGTATATAGATTATTGCTATTTACAAATAAGTTCTTAAACTTATTTTTCTTAAAACATAAAACAGTAAATAAAGAAGTAAAGCAAACAATTATCTCTTCTAGTTACGACCTTTTTGTGGAAAACTCATGAGCAAGTGTGGATCTATGGGAGAGGTTGGGAGGGGGGTATGCACTACATTTATGTATTTCACAAAATATGGAAATGGCAACCTCCAGACAATGTTTATCATATAAAATGAATCATAATTCAAAAAATATTTAAGAAATAAACCAAAACTAGGTGAAAATACGATGTAAGAATAATGTAGCACTTCAAAAAGTTATGAAGCTAGCACAATGCCATTTTTTTCCGTACTAGTTGATTAAACCAATATAACTGATTAATGAGCCCTTCAAGTGGTTGATCAGTAAATACCACTAATCATCCAGCTCTAATTTTGACTATTTCATAATATGGTTTTAAGTTAAACTTGAATGATATTTAAAAGATTGATCATTTAAAATAACTCAGTGTTGTGATAACTATAATTTGAATATTTGTAGACAAAATTCTGAAGGCAATGGCATCTTATGGTTTCAAGGTAATAGAACATCTGGAGCCCAAACAGAAGAACAACCTGCCACTCAGTTGCCTGCAGTTGATAGTTTACCTTCTTATGATACAGTGGTGCATGTTGAGGTAAGAAATTTAATGCTCAGTAGTGATACTTATCTAAGAATTTTTTTTCCTAATGATATAGTCAAACGGTTTCATATGAAACAATACTATCCTACAAAATGACTTTTTTAAGTGAGAAACTTAAGAATTATTAGTTTTCTTGTAATACTTTTTTATTTTAGAATGTTTATACAGTGATAGCTCTTGTGACATCATTGTATTTGAGTGAAGATAATTCTTGTTTGTGATACTTTGATATGCTCAAAACTAACATCAAAGAGCTACAATGCTCAAGATCATGGGGCTAAGCAATTAAATCTATAATTAGTTAACTTTATTTGAGAAAGCTCTGCAAATATAAAAAGGAATAACATTTTCCTATTTAAATAATGTTTTGCTTAAATAAACTGTCAGAAATTAACTTCACATTAAGTAGACTTACCTCTAAAATTCTAAAAGCTTTTTCTTGTTAAATTGCTTTCATGCTGTCAGTAACCGTATAACTTCAAATTCGGAATTACTCTTGATGCAATGTAAAGAATATGTCAATTCTCCACTCTTCTGCCTGAAATGTGCCTTACTGCTCACGTGTCCGGAGAATGTATGTACACCCTGGTTTCCTGCCACAAGACATTTTTTTTTACAGTTGATAGTCATGCTATTACCTTAAATCACTATGATTCTGAAGTCAACATTTATTACTAATACTAATGCTTCTATCAATATTGAAAATTTCACAACTTCTTTGGAGGTCTTACTCTCATAGTCTGCCTCTAGTGTGCAGGGAGATAGTATGGCTGTATTGTCAGGCCTTTTTTTTATAATCAAGGTGTTGAAGCTGTTATTTTCGTTTTTGTCTGTCAGTCTTCCTGGCTAGTATTACCTTTGTGTTGATGCTCAGTTACAAAACATCTTCCCTTTTTTCATGATGGCCTATTCATCTTCATTATGTAAATAGTAGGATTTGTTAACTAGCCCTAATTCACCTTCATTACGTGAATAGTAAGATTTGTTAACTAGCCCTAATTCACCTTCATTGTGTGAATAGTAGTATTTTTTAGCTATCCCTATTTCACCTTCATTATGTGAATAGTAGTATTTTTTAGCTATCCCTAATTCACCTTCATTATGTAAATAGTAGGATTTGTTAACTACCCCTAATTCACCTTCATTACGTGAATAGTAAGATTTGTTAACTAGCCCTAATTCACCTTCATTGTGTGAATAGTAGTATTTGTTAGCTAGCCCTAATTCACCTTCATTATGTGAATAGTAGGATTTGTTAACTACCCCTAATTCACCTTCATTACGTGAATAGTAAGATTTGTTAACTAGCCCTAATTCACCTTCATTGTGTGAATAGTAAGGGGGTTCCATATGACCTTTGACTTTTATCTGTTTTCTGCTCTGTATGGCACAAATTTACTTGATTTTGTTGTTCAGATTAATTATTAAGTATTAGCTAATTCTCCTTTTAATTATAATCAGATTTCCTGTGCTGCAGTTCTCATAGCTATAGTTTCTTATACCATTTCTTTGACACCTTAGCTCATTGTACTTTGTTACAAGGTATTCATATCTAACCACCACCACCATTACCAACTTTTTAACTTACCTTCAAAGAGCTTCTTTCTTGCAACATTTGTTTCACTCAGACAAGTCTTCTTGAAGAGAGTCATGCCAGCAGGAGTTGATTAGGGTTTTAGCACTTCAACTGACTTCTGGTAATCATGTATCTTGATACAACAAACATGAAATCTTTGTCCTCATGCTGTATCTACTAAGAAGTAGACATCATCTACTTGTTTCTTTGGAGCCTACATATCATTAAAAAATGAATGTAAGCTAGTGGAGTCTTCTTGACCCACTCAATGACTGGCTTATTTATTTGAACAAATTTCCCTTTTGGATTGTTTGTAGGAGTTTTCTCACATCATTAGACTTTTCTATGGGACTCTTGGCTTTGACTGATCCTTTAGTCTGGTCTTAGTGTCTTTCCTCTTCCTTAAAATACAGTTGCCTACACATCTTGGATTAGTAAGTCTTATGTATCCTTCAGGAAAGACAAATTGAAGTCATTTATCACACATCTCCAGATTTTTACTCCCATCTTTTTACTGCTTCTGAAGAAATCGGGAGTTTTGAGAACTGTAATAGACATGTCTTGGCTGGTAATTTCCTGGAGATGCCTGATTTTCAAATGGAAAACAAGGTCATTATGGAAGTATCCATGGTGATGATTATGGTTAGTATAGGTTGTTATGGAAGTCTCCACGGTGATGATTATGGTTAGTATAGGTTGTTATGGAAGTCTCCATGGTGATGATTATGGTTAGTATAGGTTGTTATGGAAGTCTCCACATTGATGATTATGGTTAGTATACAGGATGCCTTTTTTCATGTCTTTATTCATCCATCATCTTTTGCCATTGGGAGTTATCTTGTCAGTTCATTATCCTTCCCTTTAGTTCCACATGTTTTCTGTCAAGTAGTCTAGTTTTGCTGGTCTTCTACATTCACTCAACATCAGTTTTTACTTGGATGATTAGCTTCTTTTGATTATTTTGTCCATACTTTCTCTTACAGTCATTCATTTGACTACCCATTTGGCAATCCAGGTATTTTTATACAGCCCAATAAATACTCTTGTTCACAATTCCAAGGGTACATGAGGTTAAGAAGTTATATAAATATAATTCAGGGCCTAAAATTGAGGCTATGTATGGATTAGTCCACTCGGGACTCTCACATGTCATTTATACTTCTGTCTTTGTCCTGTACAAAATTAACCCTTCTCTACTGGAGCTTCACAAGAGGATGATGCTCAATGGAAGTGGACAGAGGAATCATCTGGTGGTTAATGGTGCCTTTCCCACCTTCACATGGTCCTTTTCTAGCATTTTAGACATTGTAGACTATATGCCTATTCTCCATATGATGTTTTAATAGCTGTTTTATATTTATTTATTTTTTCTTTACTTTAATTTGTATTCCCATTTCACTTACCAAGAGTTGTTGAGCCTGTACTTTGGTTTGCATAGGTCTTTTTGATTCTTCTAGTTTTGTGACATGGTTGACCTTTTCAGAGTAGGATGAAGGGGGCCTTAGCCCAAGCAGCATGTCCAGTTTGTAGTTACTACTGATCCTTTCCTCTGAGGATCTTCCACTACAAGAATAGGACAATATTCTGAACTCTAACCCTGTTTACCTGTTAAGGCACCACCTGTGCCTACATCTGGTTCTGTATATTATAGCCTGACTCCCATGTATATTGAGGAGGTGTCCTGCTAAGAATGCCTTTCTGAGTGTTCTCATTTTGGTTGAGTATTTGTAAGGGTGTTGACTGCACTCTGCACTCAGTTCTCCCAAAAGTTCTGTAAATTGTACAGTATGGTTCGATGTTTGTTCATCATGTAAGTCTTATATTTATCATATAAAATTGCTGGACTTGTTTCAGGTAAACAAAGCAGTAAAAATGATTTTGTAACATTCTTCTTTTTGCTGGATATTAAAGACAGTTAATGGTTCAGAGTGATAAAATGGAAAATTTGTATACCAAGCAGTTTTTGGAACTTACATAATTAAACACATTCAAAACTTCCTTAAAATGCTAATTATGTGAAGAATATGTTATTTAGTAAGCAGAGTTTTATATTTCTACACTTTTGGTGTTATTAGAATGAATCATACAGTAATAATAATGAAGAATATAGTTCATTACTCATCACAGGCAAGGCTATCATGTTAGAATTCATGTTGCAATTTATCTGACTAACTGAATAAACTGATATTTTCAGTGTGCGTGTTGTTTTAATTAAAATAAAAAAAAAACGCTGTTTACCAATTAATACGTGTACTTTTTGTAGTATTAGAAATTGTGTAATAAATATCTATATTAAATAACTATAAAATCTGTCCATTTTTTCATCTATTTTGACCATTCATGTCCATGCGTGATGACCAGTTTAGTGCTGTTACCAAAGAATAATCAAGTACGTTGTTCATTCTGACAGCTTTTGTACATACTTAACTTTACTCTGTAAACAATACGATATGACTCCACACTAATGTGCTAAATGCCAAAAAAAATTACATTTTCAGTGTTCTTTAATCGTAGTCTACTATTTTAGCCAAATTTTTCACATAAGTATTACAGGATTTTTTTATGTTCCTTTACTCACCAGGAAACAAGAAGGTACTTGTTTAGTCAGAAATAATTGTATGTAACTTAATGAAAGCTGAGTCATTATTGCCACATCTGTCACAAGGGACATTCAAATGAATCATTAATTTTATTGGATCTTTCTCATTCACATATTTTATTTTCACAACCAAAGCTTTAAATGTGATGTATTTACTTCACAAGAAAATGGTCAATATATTTATATATCTTTATATACAATGTGTAGGATACTTCTGAGGAACCGCCACCTTCGTATGAAGAAGCACTAAAAGTTACACCAATTGATACAGTAACAGTTTCAAACAGTGATAAACCGTGATGTAGATGTATCTTTAACCAAACATCCTGTCTTCCAAGAACTGAATGAGGAACTGTTGAACAGCACGGGCTTACAGACTGGAGCCTAGTATTTCTTTTAGCCTTTAATTGGTTTGTTAAGGAGTACCAGAAAAGGATTATTATTCAAAGCCTCAGTTTTGTTTAAACTTGTTTCAGAATTATTTTATCTCGTATGTTGCTACATTTACAAAAGATGTGTAATAAATTACATGCACGTTTTCAGTTACCTTATGATAAGAATTTGAGCTTTGTTTATTTTCAAATAAAGCTGTTTTTGGGATTTTGTTATTATATACATACTGTGTGTTTCATAATGGCATTAGTTATATGCAAATTGTATGTAGAATTTCATTAATCTGTTTTGTTTTTTATTTTAAACGAAGCTGTATTTTTAAGAAAAGATTTTGATGTATAAAAATAATTCTCAAAGTTCGACAATAGCATATAGTTGTAGGATATTTCATTGTTTTACGTGAAAAAAAATTGTAAGTTTAAATTCATTGAAAATTGCAACTTTGGACGTTATAGAGACAAAATAAATAATGTTTAATGAGTAATTAGTCATCTATATGAAATTGGGATGACTTTATACTGTTTTGTAAAATTAGTAAACTTACCTTTTATGCTGTAAAATATTAGGAATGCTTGTATCTTTATTTAGCAAAGTTGTGACGGTGCATGTATATTTTATGAAAAATATTTGTACATAGTTAATATAAATATAAGTGTATGAACCAGTGAATATGAAAATGCAGACTTAACTCTGAAATTTGGGAGTTTAGCAGTACTTTTATGTGCGGAACATGGAGCAAGGAGATCAAGGATTGTTTAGAAATTGAAGGCAACTGAAATGAGAAACAATTACATACAACTGGTTTTACAGAGTTAAGTCTTGACTTAAAGTGAAGTTTAATTTTAAGAGTCATACTTCATTACATGTTAGAAACTAGAATAGGTTTCATGATATTAATTTTGGAGGAAATGTAACATTTAGACCTGATAACTCATGAATGTATTGTCTTAGCCATCTGTACTAGCTTTGTGATGGCATATGAAAATAGTGTCATATCTGTGTCAACAGCAGAAAGAAGCAAGTTCAGTTAAAAACATCAACAGATTCACCCCTTACAAGAGTAGTAATATAGATCCCTGAGTTAAAATATGATCATGAAGTGTTGATATAAAGAAAAAGTCACAGATTGTAGAGTTTAGAAAAGTACGATATTACTTCACCTAGAGATCTGCATTGCTTGTGGCTGATGATGGTGTAAATATAAATAGGAATTAATTAGACCTTTATAGCTCATTTTAGATCAAAACAAAGACTTTTTCACTATCAAATGCACTTGTGACTTTATTTTTATATATCTCTAGAATAAGATTCAGTGTCTGTTTGTGTGTTATGTAACTCCTTTTAAACTTCTGGTCTCACCGACTTCTAAGTGTTACCAAATGATTCATCTTGGTCCCGCAGTTTGCAGAAAAGTCAAATTTTTCACCCTACCCTTTAGGGAGTCTGTAGATTTTTGGAAAATTCCTTCTCGTAAATTGCTGAATTCACCAACTTCTAAGTGGTGCCAGAGAAATCGTCTTGACCCGAGGTTTGTACAAAGGTAAAATTTTGTTACTCAACCTCTTAGGGAACACAAAATTTGTCATTGATTTACATTAGAGCAAGTAAATAAGTGGGCCTACTAATTACTGTTTAAAACTTGGTTAAAGAAATTAAATTTACGTTATAGCAGCAATGATCATTAAACTGAAAAGTGCAGAATCTATATCATAAGACTCCGTGTCTGAGTGTATGTGTCACATAAGTACTCCTAAACTGCCCGAGGTTTGCACAAAGGTAAAATTTTTCATCCAACTCATTAGGGAACCCAGATGTTTTGCAAAAACACTTTTAAAGGGATTTCCCAAAAGTGGCCCCCAAATTTAATGTTGATTTACATTAGAGCACGTAAATAAATAGGCCTACTAATTACCATTTGTAACTTGGTTAAAGAAATTAAACTTGTATTATAGAGGTAATGATAATTAAAGTGAAAAAGTGCAAAATAGTAATCCAAGCATTAAATTAGCATTACAGCATCTCTGTAAATGTGGTTTACAGGCCCATGGGTCCCCTAGTATATATATATATATGTTGTATATGTATATATATCTTTATTAACATTTTATCTTTTCATAGAAACCTACTTAACAACGGAAATCTATGACTAACCAAAGACCTATAACATTTCATTTTCACATTTGTAAATTGTAACAGGTGTTATCATTAAATATTACATCATATGCACTCCGCATAGTATAGAAAGTAATGTATCATTTCCAGACTGAATTTGTTTTTATTTTAAATACTCTTTTGACGTCCATGAAGTCACTGGAATATAATTTAGTGCTGAAAATACTTTTAAATATTTGTTTCAATATAACATGTATCCACTGCCATTTTCAGCTTAAACATGCATACCTGAGGATTTTCATAGACTTTCCTAAATTGCAAGTAGCATAAACGGTATAAATTTTTCTTTAATAAATTTCATCTCGAAGTTTAAAAAAATCAGTATATGAATCTTTTAATTTAGTTAACTTATTGTTTAATACAAATTTAGATTTCAACATGTAGAAATTTTACATGAAAAAAAATTTTTGGGAACATAATAATTAGTTTCATTATTATTAAAATTTGTCATGTTAGTTTTAAGTTAAATAGCAAGTAGCATTTTCTTATTAAAATTTAAATGTTGCTTTGATAATCCAGGTGTATTGCATGTGAATATGTTGTTTCATGACACCCACTTTCTTGGGAACTAGCGGTTATTAAAACACTTTATATATACTATTTTAATGTGTTAATAATATATGACAATGAATGAAGCATTTTTATTGTATAATACCAAAAAATAGTTACAAAGAAAGTACATTCCGAGACGAGCAGAAATTGATATTGTAGTGTCTATTTCATCATAATCCTTTGGAGATTTCCAATTGGTACTGTTTTTCTGTGATGAAATTGGCTGTACTGGAAAAATATTAAAAGCATCCATAAAAAAAAAAATATTTTTATATTCATTGTTTATGATTGTTGACTGGAATCTTGTGTGTTAAATCATCTTTATTATTGTTGACTGGGATCTTGTGCATATTTTTTTTTTTCTCTGAGGATAAAATTATTTTACACTGTAGAGTTTTTGGATAAATAACTTCTTAATTTTATTGACAAAAGGTATGATTCTTGATGTATGCAATATTAGCAAAAAATAATCTAAGGCTAACTATTTTGTCAGATAAAACATTAACTTTGAATTTTTTATGGAGTTGTTTGTTTCCAAAAATTCCAAATGCATTTGCGAAATAACATGTGAAACAGTTACATTTGCATCTGAAAGCAGAATTAAAATATTTTTGTCCCCTCTAGCATTTAATCATAATTCATGGTCCCTCTTTTCAGAGTATAGTACAAGTGTGATAATTTTTTTTTAGTTATTTCTGTAATCTCCAGGCAATGTGTTTCTTACTAGAGAGTTAGACCATAATCTTTTTAGAATTTTAACTGGTTTAATGTGCTGATCAATTTTCTTTTTTTTTGTATACCAAAGTTGTTTTTTTATTAGTAATTCTGTACCTGCCTACCATAATATCATGAAAACAATTGCCTAATAAAACATATGGTTGTTGGTAGTAGCTTAATGCATTACTGAATTTAAGCTGTACTAGTATGATTTTTATTCATTAAGTCAAACCTAGTTAGGACTAGCCTTAAGAATATAAATGATTGAATGTACAAGTATACTAACACTACTTAAATGCGTTTACAGGCAGTGTATAAACAGAGTTATCCATCCAAAGATAATATGCTGAAAAACAAAAAGTATGATTTCAAAGGGCACTGAAACTTCACACTGTTGTATTTAACACACAGTTATCCCTTCATATGTTTACCATTGCAATTATGACAGAGGGGGTAGCAGTAGCATAGACAAGCCTTTAAAGATGGCCATACAGCACTTTGATTTGGTTGCTTTGCACTTTGTATGTTTGCAGAACCTGCCTTAGTCTGTGGCTATAGAAATGTATAATATTCTGGCATTGTGTTGGATGCAATTACAAAAAAACTATATTTTATAAACAACTTGCCAGGTTACCCATTCTGCACATGGGTAGGCTTTAATCTTATAGACTAAATGTAAATGATGTACTTAATTATGTACTAATGTGTGATTCCATCTACTCATTCATTATATCCCCCCCCCCTCTTCACACTTTGCACCACTCGTGCTGTAACAAACTAGTTTTTAATGCTTCTGTTTTATTCGGACATTGAGAATTCATCATTACTCGCTTAGGAATTTGTCCAGCCTTGGCAATACCACTGTGTTATAACAATAGAACACACTTTCAAGCTGACCTGGTGCGAAGAAAACTTGATACATTTAGCTACGGATGTGCAGCATTTCAGTGTCCTTGTGTTCATCCTTTTTTTTTTTGTTTAAAACTGTTATTTTTGAATGCATAATTCTGATACACCTTGTATAATAGTAGTTTATTGTAAAAGTTATTCATCTTGAAATCTATTAAAACTTTATCACTAAATAAATATGCTACTGCTGTCATGGTTTCTAAAATCACATCTGATATCTAATGAAATGAGAATAACATTGAACAGGACAAAAGGTTGTGTAATTAGCATAACGAACGTGAAAAAAAAATCAGAATTTTTTCTGGTATGTTAATATATATTTTTAGCATAATTAATTTTGGCAACTAATGTAGTGCATTTCATTTACAGCATTTTTGTTTTAGTGTGAATTTACTTTGGTTAAGTAAATAGATTGTCACATACTGACTTTACTTTCTAGTCTTTATTTCTGGGTCTTATGCACAGTCTAAAACAGACTGTACATCTCGTGGAGTGGGAGTGTGACTGGCCTGCAAAAAAAAAAAAATTAGGAAAACAAAAATCATTTCAAAGAGAGATAATTTGATACATGTGTCATAATAAAAGTTTTGGTTTTATTTTGACCACCGTTATTTCCAGTGTTTTCTGGTTTAAAAAAAAAATACTTGTTTTTCAGCTAAAAGAATTAAAGATCATAAACATAGTTTGGTGTTTTTGTATTTTAAGCTATAAGCCATAATAATATGGAATAACTACCTATGCATGTGTAGTTCTATTAACTCTCTTTAGTCAATACTGAAAACTTTGATTACTGCAAATACTTGTATGAATTGTTAGTATATATTTTTCTACAGATTTGTATATTATTTAATGAATCCCTCAGATTTAAAACACGAACATGTGGTAGATTATTAAGTACATGTGTGAAACTGGGTAATTTTATAAATATTGTTAGGATGCTTACAGTCACTTTCTATTCAAAAACTTTAATGTCAAAATTCTCCAAAACTTTAAATGTTTCTTAAGGAAATGCTACTTATATTCATAACAAGTTTTTATTAGATTTGATAAAGCTAGTGTCTTTATAGGTTTTTGTGCAATTTTTATGTAACACTAAAGTGTTATTACAGTTGTAGAATTTATTTTAAAACTTTTGATCAGTTTACATGTCAGTAAACTAGAACCAATTTACAGATGTTTTTTTGGTAGAAAGTATGTCTCAAAATAGTGGAAGATGGCAAGACGAAATTAGTTGCTATTTTCTGGTTGGTAAATTCTATCATCAATTTGTTTAGTGTCATAGATTCGTAATGTGAGGCTTAAAAAGTGTTCAGACAATTTCAAAACATAACTCAAATTTAAGTACTTTTAATGCTTGCCACTGAACTTTGCAGAATCCTGTGAATGTTTGTACAATAGCTGGAAACTTGTGTGTGCTAACAAGTTTTCATCGTGAATATCTGCTTATATTCTATCTCATCTTGAATTATGTGGTTCTAAGTTAAATATTTCAATAATGTATGTTTTAGTGGTCTTTCATACGAAAGCCAGGTTAAATACTCCAAGAATAAAAGGCTATAAACCTTAAAACTAGTGCATTATGGGATGTTTCTTGTTTAGATAATGAGCTTGATTTATTAAATGTTGTTTTCTTCACTTTTCTCAAATAAGGATCATGTGACTGAAGAATGGACCGGCACGTCTAGGTGGTTAGGGCGCTTGACTCGGAATCTGAGGGTTGCGGGTCGATTCCCCGTCACACCAAACATGCTCGCCCTTTCAGCCGTGGGGGCGTTATAATGTGACTATTCGTTGGTAAAAGAGTAGCCCAAGAGTTGGCGGTGGGTGGTGATGACTAGCTGCCTTCCCTCTAGTCTTACACTGCTAAATTAGGGACGGCTAGCACAGATAACCATCGTGTAGCTTTGCGCGAAATCCAAAAAACAAACAAAACAAGCAGTGACTGAACAAAAATGTTTCATTTATAACTAAAACCACATGGTGCTTTTTTTTGGGTGAAATAACATTTCCTTTTTTTTATATCCTTTGCAGTAGTAGTTGATATCATAGTTAAGATGTGACATTGGAAGCTGCCTACACATTTAATATGGAAGATATTTTGATATTAACAGTTGTAACCATATTTCTATTTTGCCCAATGTTTTTTTTTCTTGATATATCGAAGGCTAAAAATGTCTATTTAATACCACATGCAGGATTTTCTTCTCAAACGTGACAGTTTTTGAAACACTTGGCCCAGTAATTCACCGAAGGTATTCATGCACATCCCAGCCAAAACCGAAATGTATCTAACTGTGAGATGGCCAGTGCTGTAATATGGAGTATTAAATATTATCTTGTTACCGTTTGTGATGCATATGACAAATGAGTTATTATTATTTTTCTTTTGTTCTAAGACAGCTGCTGGTAATAAACTTAAGTTGTTGTTGTTGTTGTTGTTTTTTTTCTCATCTGTATGGTCTGTACATTGTGTATTTTTATTTTTTAGTGACATCTTTTCTGCACAGTGGCTTGTTATTAACACTATCCAAGTAATGTACTTATGATACTGTTAGTGAGATAGTGCACTGCTGAAAGAAACTGATTCTTTATTTTCTTTCAAACCAGTCAATTTAATACTGGTTATTTTATTCTTTTTTTTAAATTACTATACTAATATAGTGTAGCATTATAATCTTAATTAACCTTTTGAAAATTGGTATCCTGTTTCTCTGCAGGACTATCACACAAAATATTCATTTGGAAAATGCAAAGCATCGGTACAGTGGTGTTTTAATAATGGGTGCCAAATAACAATGTGCCTGATTTTTTTTTTTTCAATCCCTGAGGCTAACAAAGTGTGGCATAATGATTTATATATTAAGGAGAATGAAATTAACATTACCAGTTTTAACAATAATATATTTTTATTGTTTTATTAATATAACTGTTTGTGTTGTATACTTTTGAGGAAGCTCAAAAAAATAAAAATAAATGTTCCTGTACCAGTGAAACTGTTGGTTCATTAATGAGAGTCCATTTTTTTCTTTACAGAAGACTTTCATAAACATTTTTCAAATTCAACTTTAAAATATATTCAGATATCAATGGATACACATTATGAGGTTTATTAGAATATACAACAATATGATTTTTTTATTTTCTAAATAATGAAAATGAAGATAAGGAAACGATTCACATCTAATTGGACAGGTTCTTAACAGAACTTTTACAAATTTTCTTAAGAGCAGTAATTGAGAAAAACCATAAACTATGCTAATTGCCTTTTTCGATAAGAACCAGTGTTTCACTAGCGAGAGAGTGCATCAAGATTTATATTTTAATTGGCATTATAATTCATAAATTTTTACCCTGTCCTATGCAATTTTTTGAGGCCAGACTTGAAGTTCTGTCCTTACTGACACACCCGGCATGGCCAGGTGGTTAGAGCGCTTGACTCGCAATCTAAGGGTTGGGGGTTCGAATCCCCCATCCCACCAAACATGCTCGCCCTTTCAGCTGTGGGGGAATTATAATGTGATGGACAATCCCACTATTCATTGATAAAAGAGTTGGCAGTGGGTGGTGATGACTAGCTGCCTTCTCTCTAGTCTTTCACTGCTAAATTAGGGACAGATAGCCCACTTGAAGCTTTGCACAAAATTCAAAACAAACAAACCTTACTGACAGAAGCTTGAATGTATGAAGCAGTAATAAACAGATCTTCATGTGGCTAGAAAAACTTAAATGATGAAAGGTTTTAGAAGATCACATGGGACGAAGTTATTCTCTTTACTGTATTTAATTAAAGTAAAATACAAGTTTGGCACATCTTATCTAACAGTGACACATAGTGTTCTGTGGTTTCACGTAGCTGCTGTCACACTCAGTTTGATCCTTGTACTGTTGATATCATCTGAAGGCTCGTGAGGCGTAACTAAGCCTAGTCCTATTCGTTTCTTTCTTTCATGTTCTTGTAATCTGAAGAACTTTGGCAAATGGCATGTTCTACAACTATCAAGGTTGTGTACGCTATACGAACCTCTTCATTTTGTAAGGTCTCTTGGTGGTTCAACCATAAGTTCTCGGACTTGCATTGCTAAAACCCGGGGCTCGATTTCCCACAGCAGACAACTCACTGTGTAACTTGGCGCTGTACAAACAACAAATCTTGTGAATTTGGCCAGAAGGTAATGGTAACTAGTGTTTGATTTTGGCTCTTATCTTTTACTTCATTGACCAGGTAGAACAATTGGAACATCGGTGATTTACCATAGCTGATAATGTGAGTCATCAACCTGTTGATGTAGTTTTAGCATTGTGTTGGGAGTAAAGATGTAAAATATAGTGTTAAGACGTTGAATCTATAGGGGTTACAAACAGTAACTTTCAAAGGGAGAAAGGTTTTTTATTAGCAGTTGTTATAGGAGACCTGATTAGATACATTGTGTCAATGAGAAACTGTATAACGTAATCATGGTTGTTAGTAATACGGACATTGATGCAGTAATTGTGGGAGAATTTAATTTCAGATATTTTGATTGGGATTGTAAAGAGTCAAGTAACGAGTGAGAGAGGTTTCTTGAAGTGTTTTATGACTTTTTTTAAATACTAACTCAACCAGAAGAGGTGCAATTTTAGATTTCTTTTTAACCGTAATGAGGATATGATAGCAAAAGTTGAAGTGGAGGAACATTTGGGGATAATGGTCTTTGCACATTTAGAATTAATGTTTCGTTACACGTTAAGATAAAAAGAAAAGAAATAAAATTTTAGTTTCTAGTTTTCAAGAAGCCAATTTCGAGACCATAAGACAAGATTTAACATTAGAGAATTGAAATAACGAGCAAAAGTTAATGTGGAACAGTTATGGGAAATAAAAAAACAAACAATTGATTTCACAGTTGTATTGTCACTTCTTAAAACACAAAATAAGTTTAACAAAATGAGAGTGTAACATAACTTGAGGAATTGCATAACATTTATCATACTCGGGTTTCTAAGTCAATAGCGAATAAAATGCGTGATACAAAATCTCAATTTTTTTAAAATAGTGTTTATTGAGTTAATTACATCCAAGAAAATTTCTCCACGCCATGAGCACAAAAACTGTAGAACTATTTCAGAGATTATTAAACATGCGTTATCATTTAAACGAAAGTGCAGAATCATGTATTACATACAAGCTTCTTAAACAGGCACTACTCAAACAAATTCTCTAGGCTTTGAAGTTGATATGAAAAATAATTAACTGGTTTAAGTTTCGTAAGGGAGAAAATACAATCCACATAAATGTTAAAAACGTTAATATATGATTACAATATAAAAACAGCACAGGTTAATGTAGGTAATCGTTTGTAAATTAAAGAGCTGAATTTAAAATTATCGATTACTGTAGCCACAAGTTAAGCTAGATTATTAAGAAATACGAAACTATTAAATTACCGTATTAAGAAATTTATACGTATTGAAAGGAATCGCTGGTGATCATTGAGTTTAAAGTTTGGTTAAAGCAATCCAATCTAAGAAGTATGTGATCCGAGTGTAAACATCTGGAAAACCTCTCTTGGCACAGCCTGACCCAAATGATGTAAGTCCTGCCAAGTACCATTTATCCCCTCTCTTGCATTGAAAGGGTCCACCCGAGTCTCCCTGAAATGTGTAATAAGAAGATCCATTTTATTGAATTACTCAATCGTTATTTTCGGTCAACGAAATACATAGATGCCTAACGCTTGTGTCGTGCTAAAAGTATTGTATATATATATATCAATAACCATATTTTATTTGAAAATAAATAAAATGTTGTTCATCTTAGTTTGTTGGGTAATCTTTCTTATAAAAAAACAATTAAAAATATTTTTCCGGACATAAAAGCAAAGCGAGGCTTCGGTTAACTAAAACAAACACAATTTTAAGTCAATAATTACAACGAATCATTGATGAGGATATCCTCTTTTACATAAGAAAACCAAGTTATCAAACACAAGTCAAAACAAAACAAAAATTAAATCAACTATTACTTAGCCTCTCAAGTTGTGAATATGGGTCTTAAAATGTAGAATGTCTGATTCAAACACTTCTGTCCATTTAAAAATTATACTTACATGGCAAGTCCCCTTCCCGCCTTCCAAAGTGCCTGCACATAAATGCCATCGGTGGATGGATATATCAAACTTATCATGGTATGCATTGTGGCATACAGAATTGTCAAATACTTTTACATTAACTTTTCTAAGAACAGATGATCCCTTTTTGTCTGAAAACAATAACATAAACAGTTTTTCAGATGCTTAACTATTTTTATCTTATTAATATTCTAGTAAACACAAAATTTACGATATATAGCTCGTAAAACGCAAGTTTTGCTAATTTCTGGTGTTTATACATCACCCATAATTATATTTTCAGTCCAATAAATTAAACATATTCTGTCAAAACAAACTAAGCTCCGAACAGAGATATATCCTTACTTATTCGATAGCTATTTGATTTATTGCAAGTTTAAAAATAAGGTCGCGCGCTCTTTAATTTTGTGGTTCAATTTATTTGTGATTGGAGTTAGCCAATTTTTCTTTTCCCTATTCATATTCTAGTAAACACAAATGTAACGATATAAAACGCTTAACACTCAAGTTTTGCTGTTTTCTAGTGCTATATGTATCTTGCATAATTTTATTCTCAGTCCATTAAATTAAATATAATATATTGGAAAATGTAGCTAGAATTAAACATAGTCTATCAACACAATCCACTGAATTAATCCTTCTTTGTAGCTGACAGTGTGAAATATTAACTTAGATGTATCTGGGTCGTTAGAGAATGTTACTTGTTAGTCATTTGGTAAGTTTATTTGAAGGAAAACTTTTACAGCACCTCCCCCTCCAATAAATCAAATGAGGTCTCTCAAAACTAGTGAAGTTTTTCGGTTTGTACCCTCTCCTCTGTCTCAGTGGTAACTCAGTGGGCTTAAAACACTAAAAACTGAATTTTGATACCAGCGGAGGGTGACCCACAGATAGCCCATCGTGTAGCTCTGTGTTTTATAACAAATCATTCCGGTTTTTGTTAGGTAGTCGTCATACCGTTTTGTTGAAGAGAAGGGATGAGTAGAAGTTAT